CATGCAGGGGCTGGGATGCTCCTGTGCAGAGCTGTGCCTGCGGAGGGAGGGCAGGAAGGAAGCAGTGTGACTGCTGCTGTTGGAGCTGGAGGCCCAAGGAGACCCAGGAAAGGAAGGACAAGCTGTGCAGAAACGGAGGCTGGTAGGTGCACATCCTTAAGAACAAAACACCATCCACCACCAAACCTGGGATCACCCCAGTTCTTGCTGTGCACAACCTGCACTTGTGTGTGGTTGCTTGCTGGAAAGCTGTGATAAGAACTGCTGGAGGAGGTCTCTGTTGGCACCCGCACACTGTCCAGGGAGGAACTTTAGGGGACAGGTCCCCTACCCTGCTCCTGATGCAGCTGCTGTGCAAAGAGCCCAGGTCAGCCCTGAATGATCCCAGGTCCCATCGGAACGGTAGGGGCCTCCTGGGCGTGGGAGCTTTGCTGTAATCCCGCGGAGCAGCAGTGCCGAGCGGAGGATGGTCTGCGGCGTGGGCTGTGTGCATGCGTGTCTGCACACACCAGCCTGCAGATGTACATGGAGAAGAGGATTTGCTTTTCCTGGAATGCCAGTACTGTGTGTGTTGGAGAAGCTCGGCGATTAGAAGAGCAAAAGGACAGCACACGATTACTCTGCCAGTAACGCCAGCTGTAAGCTCATTAAGGGGCTTGGAGCCTGCCTGCCGCAGAAGGGACGTTCCAGTCCCTGCCTGTTGGGAGACCACTGTGTGTTGCTCTCAGAGCTTTGAGTGCCTGGAACAGAGGTAGGAGCCCCTCGGAGACCCCAGCCATGCTGGCGACCCTGATGACAGCGCTGTTCTTTGTGGTGAGAGCGTTTGGGCAGGTGAGTCCGGGCTGGCCAGGCAGCAGGTAGGATTTATTGCTGGTTTATTTCTGGAGGACCGTGGGTTGCCTTATTGGAGAAGGTGGTGAGCAGCGGGTAACGTGGGCTGGGGATGGCTGGGCTCCTGCTCCTGCACAGCTGTGGCCGTGCCGTGAACCCCTGCAGCGATGAGCAGCCCCCCGCGTGGAAATGTTTCCAAGTCCTAGACCAGCTCCTGTCCTCTGCTATTCCTTGTCCCCAAAAACACCCCAGGACAGGGAGAGGAGGCAGAGGGCTGCGCGTCCCTAAGCCAGGCCACCTAGGGCAGGGGCTCTGGGCCACCCTTGCTTGATGCAGAGCCATGTGGCCTCAGCCTTACCCATGAGCTCTGCAGCCGCAATTCCTCGTGATGAGAAATCACCCTTTGATGTGGTGTGGGAAGACACGCAGAGCATCCCTACAGCTGGTGGGGCCACCGTGGGCTGCAGTCGCTGTGATGCATATGGAGGAACAGCACTTTCTGTTGCTCTTCTGCTTCTCTCCTGTCCTCCTACCTGCTGCAAACCCTTTCCGTGTGCAGATCGGGAGCAACCTGTTCCAGGAGGAGCCCCTGCCGTACCTGGTGTACCAGCCGCTGCCCTGGCAGATCCAGTGCGTGACGCAGAGCCGCCGCACCAGCCGGGACAGCGAGGTGAGGGCTGGCTGGCGTGCGGGAGGGCAGCCGAGGGGCTGGGTGGGGAACGGGCAGTGCCTGGTGTAGAAGGAGCAGCTGCATCTGTCCACCTCTGCTTGGAGCAGAAGGCTTGGGCAAGGGGGGAGAGATCCTTTTCTTTCTCTGGAAAGACAGAAAATGGTGTAAGGCCAAGGTGCAGGATAAGCTGAAAAATGTAGGAGAGGTATTGGTAGACAAATGTAAACTTATTTTTAGGAATTAAAATAATCCTCTAGCATATCTGATGTCTCAGGAGCTGCAGTGTCACGGTAGGTGCTGGGGTTGAGGAGACACGCAGCGAGGCAGGTTCCATGCTGATGTGAAAGGCAGGTCTGCGAGGCTAGCCTGTGCCAACGGACGCCTGAGATGCTGCCAGCACATCTCTCAGATGGGATTTGTGAGACAAAACTCTTTTTCTGCTCCTCCCTGGAGGACTGCTCACAAATGCAAATTAATTAATCAGCTCTCTGTAGTGCTGTTTAAGGGAACAACAGGAGGTATTTTCAAGTTTCCCAAAGGGAAGGGATAGTGGAAAGCATGGTCAGGCTAGCCCTGTCCTGTTTGGAGCTTCCCAGCTGCCCCGAAAGGGACTGTTCTCCCCACCTGTGCCTGATACATAACCAACTCTCTTCTACTCTTGTTCTCTGCCTTTCTAGAGAGGTAGAAGCTCTCGGCACAACAGCATCTACTCAAATTCTGGAGAGAAAGGTGAGTATGGAGCGGGCAGGGAGGCAGCCCTGCTGGAGTACTCTGGGAAACTCCTGGTTGTGACTGTGGGATGCACCAGAACAGCAGGCATGGCATTTCCCCCCCTCTTTGCTCTTGTCTCCACGCCTCTGCCCCTGTGCTGAAGCCAAGTGCTCAGCAAAGAGGATTGGCGCCCTTCTATTCTCGGTGTGCTCGGGGCAATCGGATCAGGGCAGCTCCAGTGATGCTCTGGCAGCTAGGAGGCTTGCAGGGGGCTGCGCTGGGACGGTGTGGGACCCCCTCCGTGCAGCAGGAGCCCTGCCCAGCCCAGCTACTGCTCTGGGGCAGGTGAAGGACCCCAGGGCTGACAGTGACACTTGTGTTGTTGCAGCGGTGGGGGGTTATTGATGGGGCTGGCCATGGAAATGGTATTCCTGCGGGGGCCGCTGGCAGCCCGCACGGCCGGGGGCTCCTTCCTGCAGACATACAGCGGGACATGCACCAGGGGCTCCCCAGCTGCTGGTGTGGGATTTTTCCAGCAGGCAGGATTTACAGCTGATGGTGTGTCCTGTTAAGTGGGGCAGGAAGGAGCAGATTCCCAACGTGGACTCTTTATGTCTCTTTTTACTGTGGCAATTTCTTTTAGGATGTGAGTAAAGGCGTGTGCAGGTGCCAGCGGTGAGTTTACACAGCAGCATCTGGCACGGGGCTGCTGATGGCTGCTCGGGGTAACACGCTCCCCTAAAGGAGCCCTGCTGCGGGGCTTTGATTCCGCTCCTGCTGCGTTTCCCAACACTTCCCTAATGCCACGTTAGGGCTGGGGGGGAGGGCTCCCATTTGTCAGCGTGGGAGCTTTATTGCTGTGCAGGGCCGGGCTTTTTTCCTAATCTTATTTGTGTGTGTGAAAGCAAGTATCATACTCAGTGATTAAATGTGGGGAAGCAGAGGTCTTCGGGGAGTGAAGTGTGTAAATAGAGGGCTTAGTGCTGCTGGGGAGGCTGGGCTTTTGCGTGCCTCCTCTGCCATGTGGATGCACCCCATGAGCTGGTGCAGCCATGGTTTCATGCTGTGGGCTCTCCAGCCTCTAACAGAGTGAAGCCCCCCCATCTGTGGGTGCTCTGTGGGGTGCATGGGGGCTGGTCTGACCCCATGGGGGCCATGCCAGAGCCCTGCCCAGCTGCATGGACCCTGCTCAGGGCCACCAGCAGTGCCTGCACTCACGGTGATGCTCGGTTTCATCCTAGGCAATGTGACCCCTGATGCCAGCAGTGAGAACAAGTTCTTCAGTGACCCTTCGGAGAAGGCAGCTGTCACCATCCAGACCCACTTCAGGAGATACCAGCAGCAGAAGCAGGAGGAGAAGTAGAGGCGCTGGCCACCCGTGCCCTGCACTGTCCCTCATTTTTGTGTGTCCTGAATCCCAGAGACACTTGCAGCCATGGTGACTGTGACCCTGCTCCCCAATCCGTAGCTCCTGGTGGTAGATACTCTGCTGTTCGTGTTGGTCGCTGCTCAGAGCGAGATCTCTTTCCTTGTCCGCCCTTCCCCAGACAGCACTGCCTTGTGGGCTGGGGTACCACTGGCTGTTCAGTGGGACCTGAGCTGCACCCAGGGGCTGGCACAGCATTGACCATCCTTTCCTTGGTGGCAGCACCCCCAGCTGGGTGGTGGCTGGCCATGGGGCCGCAGCAGGTTTAGGACCCACAGCTGTGGTGGTGCCTCCTGCAGCTGATGGCAATTGTGGCTGGTGACTGCCCAGCTGTGGCTCGCTTTGGCCATTATTAGCCCTGTGCTGAGCCTCCATCTTCAGTCTGCTCCTGGAGCTGGGGTGGAACACAGCCTCTGTCCCCTGCTCCAGGCCCTGGCTCGCAGAGCTGCTGGGCACAGTGTCCAGGAGCTGGCCCCAGCAGGATGTCACCCTGGGGTGTGCTGGAGGGAGCAGGAGCTGAGCCACATGCTGGCTGTGAGCTGATCTTGCTTTTCTTAGGGCACCCCAACCAGTTCCCCTGGTTTCAGAGCAGGGGTGGGGGGTGGAACTTTGTCTCCTGCATGTGCTGAGGTTGAATCTGCTCCCTGCAGGGATGGGCTTGTTCCTGAGACAGTCCTCTGGCATTTGGGTTAGTGCCCACTTCCACCCAGCCACCCTGTTTGGGTTTTTTGTGCCAGCAAAGCAGAGCTGAGACCTGCTGCTGGGCTGGCAGGGACAGGACCCCGGGGTTAGCGTGGGTTTTAGCACCCCTTCTTGAGTGCTGGCTTTTGGGGGGTGCAGATGTTGAAAAAGAAGGAATGTGAAAGCGTGGGGGGGTTTGCTGGGAGCAGCTGGTGAGGAGGTGGGGTGCTGTGGCACAGGGGGGTGCTTGGAGGGAAGGAGCAGGGCATGGAGAAGACGCTGGTGGCAAAAATGGTGCTGCTCTGATGGCTTGAGCACGGTGTCCCCTGCCACTTTGCTGGGTCTGGCGCTGGGTTTTCTGAGCAGAACAACCACTGAGCTGTGCCCCTGGAGCCCTGGCAGCCTGCAGGCTGCCCTTTCTGTCCTCTCCAGCCACAAATGTCCCCACCCCTTTGCACAAGGGCTCCAGTCCCCAGCTGCCCCTGCTTGTCTTCAGCCTTTAAGTGCTGATGTTTGGTGTTGGCTTCTGTGTTGGTGCCTGCCGCTTGGGTTGGCATCCCATGGTGCTCACAGCTCTTCCTGAGGAGAGCCTGGCTGGTGCTGAGTGCTGGAAACTTGGGCTGGCTTCATAATGTGTGCAAAGGCAGGGATGGGAACTGCTGGGGAAGGTAAGGTAGAAAATTCTTGCTAAGATGTAGAAGGAAACCTGTACTAGCCCATGACAATAAAGATGTATTGATCTCCATTAATGTGCTCTTTTTATCTTGTTAATGCACTTGCTCCCGCAGCTGAGGACACTTGCCTCTTGTGTTTGAAGGTGGGGATTGGCACTTTGGAGGCGCTGCATGGTTGCCTACCTGTGGCACTGCCCTGAGAGGGGGGTGGGCACTGGCTTCTCTTTAAAGTCTGTACCACGGAAATGTTTTGATGTCTAAGGTGCACTGAGCTGTTTTTGAAATGATAATTATAAAAATGCTGAAGAAATTTGAGTTTTTAGAGGGTTCACTCGGTTGAAGGCAAATGCTAACCAGGGTAAGGGAGACCTGCTTTCAGATGAGCTGCTGCAGGCTGTGATGTGTGGCCACTGCTAGGTGGCCTCTCCCTGGAGCGGTGAGAGGGTCCTCAGCCATCGGTGGGTGGCAGCAGGAGGGCACGAGGGGACACGTGGCCAGGAGGGTCCCAGGACTCTGGATGGCGTGGCAGGCTATGCTCTGCTGTGTACAGAGATACGCAATATCTACTCTCTCCGCTATGTTTCAAGAGATGCAATATGGAATGTATCCAAGGCAGTAATAGCCATGGTGGGTTATAGAGTGAGTGCTGTTGTGTAATGTCTTCTCTGGAAATCCCTGTGCTATGTTCACAACATCTCTTACAGAACATGGGACACAGCAGGGCTGGCCAGGTTCGGTGCTGTATGGCACACTGTGCTGTGTGACACGGACATGCCATATCCCATGCTGTTGAGATGTTAACTGCTCTAACTGCTCTTATTGCTATGTGACATGCTCTGCCCCAGCCCCTGGCTGTATTATGTGCTGTGTCCATGCTGTGCTATTTTATGTGCCATGGCCCATCCTATTGCGATGTAGTGTGCTGTGTCCCATCCTCTTGCCCTGTTAATCACTGTATCCATGCTGTGCTATTTTACATGCCATAACCTATCCTAATGCTATGTACCATCCCCAGCTGCCATCCTCTTGCTATGTAACATCCCATGTGCCATCCTCTAGTGATGTAACATCCCTGTGTGCCATCCTATAGCTACGTAGTACTTGCTGTATCCACACTGTGCTATTTTTTTATGCCATACCCTAGCCTATAGCTATGTAACATGCTTGTGTTCCATCCTCTTGCTCTGTAACTTCCCCATGTGCTGCCCTATAGCTATGTAACATCCTCTGCACCACCCTATATATGTAACATGCCCGTGTGCCGTCCTCTTGCTATGTATTACTCACTGTGTGCATGCTGTGCTATTTTAAATGCCCTACCCTATTCTATAGCTCTGTGATGTCCCCATGTGCCATTTTCTTGCTATGTAACATCCCCTGTGCTGCCCTATTGCTCTGTATTGTTTGCTGTATCCATGCTGGGCTATTTACTGTGTAATACCCTATACTATTGCTCAGGAACATATCCTTTCCCCTTGTTTTGATATGTTGTGTGCCCTATGGCTGTGATGCTATATGATGGGCTGTATCTGGTGCTATGGCTGTGTTACCCACTGTACCCTGATCTTGGTACCAGTTTATCTACCGTACCCTAGGGCCATGGTATGTGCAGTACAAAAGCCTCTGCTGTGTGCTCTATCACAGGCTATGATATGCAAATTTGGAAAAGTGTGTAAGTAGTAAAATAAGCATGTCACATGCACCTCCTCCTACAATTTAAGTTCCTAGGTCTATGGGACATTCTATTATGCTACTGTCTTATGGACTGTATATTCCTGCCCATGATTTACCTGAGGTCCTGCTTAGAAATCACGCAAATCTTTGACAAAGAATCCTTGGAATTCCCCCTCAGGAATCTTGTGAATTGCAGTGACTTCCTACTAAGGAAAACTGGGAATTATTATAAATTTGCACTGCTGCTTCACTTCACTCAGCAACTTTGCAGTGGAGCTTCAACCTCGCTCCAGGAATGAGTGGTGGACCATCTCCTGTCTGCGTGCCTCTGCTTAGCTTCACCATACTCCATCACCCTCCAGCACCATCAGTGCCTCATGCTGCATTTGTGCAGGGTCCTGGAGCTGCAGTGCCCCTACCCCACGCTGCCATTCTCTGCCAGGGCCATCCTGCAGCAGCGCACTCCTCCTGCCACACGCGTGTCCTTGTCCAGCGCAGTGTTCCATTGCATGGGGTGGGAGGTGGATGGCACTTTGGCACAGCGGGTGTAAGGGTCCTGGTCCCTGCTCCCCTCCCTTGCCCTCCCTCTCTCCATCCTTTGCTGAGGTCCTGCTCCTGCCCTGCGCACTGAGCACACGCCCGCGTATAAACATAACCTTTATTGCACACAGCGCTGGGTTTCTTTTCATAGAAAAAGGTATTAACACATAAGCAATTGCAAATGGAAGCAACTCCTGTTGTTTTCAGAACAGTAAAATAGCATGCAATGTCTTGGAGATGTTCCTTTTTTTTTTTAAAACCACCGACAAGATCAGGGAGGAAAAAAAAAAAAAAAAAGTCGCTGAGTCTTTCCTTGTGCTCCTTTCAAAATGATGTGAAATATATAGAATGTTTACATCTATCTTATATTTTTAAATCTGTAACATCAAATTCTTTGTGCCCTGGTTTCTTTTTTCTGTTTGGAGAAGAAGAAAATAGCTTTATTTATACAAAAGAGTTTGTTATGTACAAGTTTGTTAATTAAATATAAATGGAAACAAGCAGTGTCCGTGGGGGGGAGGGGGTCTCTGGTGGGTGCCCTACACCAGCGTGTAGGACTTGGAGTAGGCTCCAGCTCCCTGTTTTTGAGACCTGCCCACACCCGACGTGCTCATTTCTAGGAGTGAGTCCCTGGAGCCCCCCACTTTGGAGTGCACTGGCCCCCGCGCCTCGGTGGCACCAGTGGCGGAGGTGGTGG